GCTAATGCTAATTTCGAAGATAGTGGAGTTATTATATTGAATCGGTTGCTTCGTCTACTGCGAGTGAAGTTGGTTCACTGTGTGGCGCCAGAAATCTCGTCAGAAGCTATCTTACACATTTTATAAATCCACTATTCGTCTATGCATTGAATACTGCTGCCATATTTGGTCGGATGTTTCTACTATATATCTCGAGAAAAGTCTGTTATGTAATAAATCATGATCTGGCAACTCTGCTTCGGTCATATTCTCATCAATGTGGCGTAGTTTCCTCTTTTCTACAAATATTTCATGGCAATTATTCTGACGCACTTTTCTCCCTAGTGTCATAAATTTAAGCGTGTTACTAGATCGGCAATTAGGTGTCATTGTTTTACTGCTGAAAACAACTAGATGCAAATGTCTGTTTTATTCTAATAGTTTTTCTCTCTCACTTCTCGCCTGTGGAACTTCTTTTCAACTACAATCTTCAAAAATGTAAATTCAAAGCTAATCAGTCTTCTGTTTTTCTGAAATCTCTTGTCCTTTCTCCTCATTAAAGCCTCCTCATTATGTCACTCAGAGTAACCCCTTACATCCTAGTGGCATTATCGCCTTGCTTTGGGTGAAACTAGTTATTTAAAGAAAATTGCCAAGGAAAACTGGGAAATATTTCTTTTGCAGGAAAATGCAGCTGCTAACAGGCAAGATGAATTTTGCCATTTTGATTGTGTAAACTATTCATCCTTTACTCAATTTATTTTCTGTTTTCAAACATTTAAAAGGAGTGTCGGAGTTAGCTCCCCCTTAATTCCTTAATCCTCCACCAGGGGTCTCTCTCCCCTTGCTATAAATATTGGGTGACCTTTTGCCTCGATCTCTATTTTCCCCTCAGGCATGGCGCCGTATCCCACCTCGCGTGGAGGTGAGGTACTTCTTTCTCTTCATTTCAGCTAATACCAATATGTGAGTTCGCCAATACAGCGTTTCCCAAATTCTGGGAACACGCTAAGAATAATACCAATACACGTACGTACGAACACTCACCACAATACACACATATAATATTCCCCACACAAACTCAATGTAACTGCCCATGTGCTTGTAACTTGTTGGTAATACATATATTTGTTTGTACATAATTATTGGTCTTGTTTGTTTTCTTTGGACTTAAAGTCCAACATTCTCAGGTAGCTGGACCGGCTAGCAGGAAATTTTAACACACGTGTGTTCTTTACATCTTCACCTCACGGTCCATGAGTTTGAAAGGAAGTAAAATCTATAATGATTCAGTTGTGACAAGAATAAGACAATGTTTTAAAGACCAAACATCAGAATTATGAAGAGGACAATTTAAAAAAAATCACATTTCATGACCCTAGGTCATTTCTAAAAACGAGAACATTTCAATCCTTCTCGTAATTACTAATCTCTAATTTCTAAATTAAGAAAACGTACTGTTAATAGCTGTTTACCTCACAAAATCTACGCACAGTCTCGTCACTTCGCCTATCGACTGTTAAATAAATCTGATCTCTTAGGACATGCAAGCTAAGAAGTTGATATCTGAAGATCGATTGCCAATCAAAATGTTAACTCGCTCTCCATTTCGGTGTAAAATATCCCGATGTGTGTAGTCTTTCTAAAAGTAATGCTCATTTCGATTACAAGCCTATTTGAAGTTAAGTGTCACCTGCGTTTGAAGCGCTTAACTGGATACCCGACACCTGTCACTTGTTTTATTAATCTACATTTACTTGCTTGTTGCGTTTGTCTACTTACGATCTGAAATTAATATTTGCCTGCTCACCGGTCTGAGTCGGTTACGTTTTTTATTTTTTTATTTTACTACGATATTCACCTTGTATAAGCCCCAAGCGTTACTTGAGGTAGAGGTCTACAGAGTAAGGGACACCACTCCAAGAAAAGTGATAAAGCCGCCAAAGTGCAATTGACCAGTAGAAGAGAAGGCAAAGACTTTAGGAGGAACCAGAAACCCAATCCTTAACGCGTGGGGTGCGGGGTGAAGAGCAAGGGGCAAACCTCTACTCCTTTCTACCCCCCCCACAAAAAAAAAAGAATCTGAGACGCATCCTTGGACGATAGGCAAACCAATCTATTCCTAATGGAAAACTGAAGTGTATATGTTATCTATATATATATTCAAAATGTTAGAAGCTGTTTGAATCGAAAAAATTCCGCTTGAAGACCAGCATACAAAACCCTGTTACATTCCTTCGAAATATCCAAATTAATACCCAGAGCTTCACTTCTCTTATCTAAAGCTGGATAGTTTTCAGCATTTGACCTAAAGAAGTGAAAGCCATATTCCTTATCTGAAAGACCCTGCGAAGTGAGTTGCTTGACCAATTCAGGTGACTTTGTCGCTTCACAAATTCCTGTCCTTTGTAACTCTTATTAATTTTGTTAATTCTCCTAAACCCTGTCCTATCATCCATTTCCTCAAGCTCATTAAGTACGTTTGCGTTATTTTCCTTTCCCTCTTGCCTTCAATCTGCCCCGTGAGTAACAGATTTTCCAAGCCCTCTTTCCTCATTATGTACCCTAGAAATTTCAAATGTCTCTTCCTGATATTAAGCATGTTTCCTTTTCGTTTCCACTTTTCTAAAACTTCGTCGTTGCTCACATATTCGGTCGATGGTGGCCTCAGAATCCTTCTATAGAAGCACATTTTTGTTGCTTCAAATCTCTCCCTCTGTGAGGAGATTGTCCAGCATTCACTGTCTTATAGGAGGACAGATATCATCCAACAGTACTCTTTACTTTGTTTCTAACGACATTTTTTTTCTTCTGTTAAGCTTTTGGAATGCATCTTTGGCTATCTCAATGCGTCTTTGAATTTCAGTGTTGCAGTTTCCGTCCTCTGTTAAATCACATCGATATCACACACACACACACACACACACACGTACGTGTGTGTCATTAGCAGACGACACTGTTTCGCTGTATCATAGCTTATCAGTGCGACTAGACATTTGAAAACCTCAAAAGACCGATTTGGTGTCAGTCGGAGTTTCTACCCCTAAGCCATCAACATTGCTAATTCTAGCTTATTGTTTTTACGAATGTAAACAAACGCCAGTCAACCAGAGTGCTCGTACTCATTTTACCGAAGAGCTTTGCGTTTTAGCGTAGGCGGCTGCTGTTTGTAGAATTAGGCTGTCTCTCAATAGTGTTCAATTGAGATATATTTTCAAGAGCTTATATATCAATTTTGTACTTGTTTGATTTTGGTATATCCGATTTGTAATTTACCTTCTGGGCTCCTCCTTTTGCTAACATCTACACATTTCGTTGTCTTGCAGTTGTTTTAGTCCTTTCTTCTCGCTTTCCTTCACTACCTTCTGTAGGAGTTTTTGTAATTTTCTTTTCGTGTCTATCAACCCTGTCATATACATATGTTAAGATTGTGCCTACCAATAACGAATCATGAAAGGACTCCTAATCCTCTCAGAATCGCCTCCCTGTATAGGCTGAATGTCCGGTGAGAAAACGCATCCTTGTCTTACCCTTTCTATTTTTTGTATATCTGCTGAGCTTGTTTTCTATTCGTATGAAGTGGGTGGCGTTGCTGCCAGTATAGCTTGACTATACCTCCTAAATATCTTAAGGTTGCTGAACAGTTCCAACAGATATTTGTGGCATACTTTATCGAACGCCTTTGCGTAATTTACAAAACGCCGGTACACGTCCTTCTGCATTTGTATTGCTCTTTCTGGAAACATTGTGATCATAAATATTGCGTTCCTTGTTCCAGTGTCTTTGACGAACTAGCAGTGTTCTTGTTCTATCTCCGGTTTGATCCTGCTACATCAGAATTCAGATTTTGTTATATGGCTCATTCGGCTGATTGTCTAATTGAATTCGCATTCATTTGTGCCTGACTTTTTAGTCGGTGCTATCAAAATAAATCTACTTAGGTCCTCCGGTATATCACCACTGTTGTATATTTCATTTATTTGTGCAATCTTGTCTATGCTGATATCTAAGACTGTTGGCATCTCTATTACGATTCCGCCTTGTTCTGCCGCTTTGTTTCTGTTCAATTTAGTCAGCGTAGTACTTTGCCAAAATTGTTTCAAATAAACGTAATTGTTGGAATAAGTGCAAGCTGGATTTTTTTTTTTTTTTTGGTAATATAATGAAACTGTTAGAGAATGCTCCCAGCCGAAATTAGGTGCGATGAAATTCCCAGAATATTTAATAAAAGGGATGGCTGGAATAAGAATGTCCCGCTTGGAATAATCAAAGTAGGTATGTAGATTGATAAGCGAACTTTTTTGCCAACCTTATAGTTATGAACAGACTTAGTATTGCTGTGTGTGTATATATATATATATATATATATATATATATATATATATATATATATATATATATATATATAATCTCATTTCAGAAAGGTATTTCTTAAATATTTAATAAAACGGATGATATGGCTCTCTTGACAGTATTTTTTGTTTTTTTTTATGTAAAATAAAAATCGTCTCTACCCGTCTATTTGAATCTTACCCTTAATTTTAGAGGAAACCTTTATCAACTTTTCGTCTTAATTTCAGTTATTTATTGTAATTGTCACTGACATTCAACAATCATTCATAAGAATTGCAAGTCGGAAATGAAGCATACATCTCCGGTGAGGCTTTATAACTTGCATCCTTACTCCCTGACCCTTATCCCACCTGAACCACCCCACCCATCCTCTTTTCTTTGGATTCTTGTAAGAGTAGATAAAAAGCAACTGAAACTAAAATGAAAGAAATGAGTCAAAAGAATACATCTTAATTTTACATTCTAAATTCTGAATTTTTACATTTTCTAAAAAGAAAACCTGTACTTACTACTAGTGTCTGACTTCGTGGGGGTGTTATCAAACTGGCTTCAAGACTTGTCACTGTAGGCGAAATCTGTTTTAAATTACAGCTTAGAGGTTAACAAAAAATAAACAAAAATGTGGAGCTTGGCAACTGGGTTATGTTTAAAACAAGTTCGATCATCGCTAAACACCGGGTCCTGTACTATCACCGAAGTTAAGCAACGCCGAACCTGGTCAGTACTTAGATGGGTGACCGCTTGGGAATACTAGGCGCTGTAAGTTTGGATGTGAGGGTGGTGAAATGATAATGGCTCGAAATTGTTAATCGGACAGCAGTTTTCTAGTACCAGTTGGGTTCGTTATAATCATTTATGCGCAAATGCCCTTGGGGGGGGGGAGTTATGAATCTTTTTCTCTTCCCATCTGTTTTTATATATATATAGTAAAACTTTTATTCTAAAACCATTATTATCCCAAAAATAATTTCGTACAAAATATTTAAATTTCGGCATTAAATAACTCGGACGTTGATATGCCGCTTAAAAAATAAACAATGATCGCTAAGGTTCTCACACTTGTACCTCCTTTACAAGATTTTACTAAGTTTGGTAAATATCTATTTACCTTGGAAGACAGATTTTTTTTTTTTTTTTTTCTTTATTTTTTTTTTTTTTTTTTGTCTTATTTTTGTTTTTTTTTTTTTTTTGTCTTATTTTTGTTTTTTTTTTTTTTTTTTTTTTTTTGTTTTTTTTTTTTTTGTCTTATTTTTGTTTTTGTTTTTTTTTTTTGTCTTATTTTTGTTTTTTTTTTTTTTTTTTGTCTTATTTTTCGTTTTTGTTTTTTTTTTTTTTTTTTTTTTTGTTTTTTTTTTTTTTTTTCTTATTTTTTGTTTTTGGTTTTTTTTTTTTTTTGTCTTTGTTTTTTTTTTGTTTTTTTTTTTTTTTTTTTTTTTTTATTTTTGTTTTTGTTTTTTTTTTTTTGTCTTTTTTTTTGTTTTTTTTTTTTTTTTTTGTTTGTTTTTGTTTTTTGGTTTTTTTTTTTTTATTTTTGTTTTTTTTTTTGTTTTTGGTTTTTTTTTGTCTTATTTTTGTTTTTGGGGGTTTTTTTGTCTTATTTTTTTGTTTTTTTTTTGTCTTGTATTTTTTTTGTCTTATTTTTTTGTATTTTTTTTGTCTTATTTTTTTGTTTTTTGTCTTATTTTTGGTTTTTTTTGTGTTTTTTTGTTTTTTTTGTGTTTTTTTGTCATATTTTTGTTTTGTTTGTTTTTTTTTGTCTTATTTTTTTTTTGTTTTTTTTTGTTTTTTTTCCGATTAAGTAAAAATCTTCAAAAAGCAAATGAAATATCTGCATAATTATTTGTTTAATGTATTCTTTCCAGTATTTGACTACCGTTTGGACGAAGAAATCGAGGACTTTTTAGTGTCAACATTTTCCAAATACACAAAGTCGACCAGTCGTGAGTAAATCGAAATTTTGTACTTTGGAAAGGTTATGCTTATTGTAACATTTTACTCTCCACCGCCCCTACCAAAAAGAAAAAAAAATTATCCCGGATAAGACTGCAGTAAGAATAAAGATAACTCAAACATGATCACAGAATAAAGAACCCGGTTTATCGATTTTTTTCCAGATGTAGCGGTATTTCGCCTTCCGTTTCCTTGTGATCTTAAACCTTATACTTTTTTTTTTTTTTTTTACCCAGAAAAAAAATTAACATTAGAAGACCCTTTGCTTGACAAGAGAGAACGCCGCCGACGCTCTGTGTCCCAAACAGATTCAATCGATGAAGAGTTGCCAGAAAAATCAAGTATGTGTCTTAAGTGTCATCAAAATATCGTTTAACTATTAGGTTTTTCATTAATAATGGAGCATACACATACTATGTCACACACACACACACACATATATATATATATATATATATATATATAAGATTAATTTATCTCGTCAAAAATACATAAGTATTATTGCACCTTTTAGCAAATTGAAAATAAAGCTACTTATATATATATATATATATATATATATATATATATATATATATATATATATATATATATCCCTTATTACGTATAAGGTAAAACGGAATTTTTGGTTTAGGTGTGATCTTTCTCAATACCTTTTTAAATTAAAGTTCATCGATTTATGACACAGGAACATAGGGTTAAAAATTGCCCAATCCTCACGACCAGTGTCATGCTGGTGTCTATATTACACCGACTTCCACCTATTTTAGAATGTTGAATGTTGGCGAAGATTTGGAGTCCCCGAAATCAGGTGTTTTTTTGTTTTTTTTCTCATCTCAAAAAACAGATTTGATTCGAGCCAAAAGACCGGAAAAGAAATAAATCTAATGCTACTGAATGTACATACAAACGCATTTCGGTCTCCGCTATTAGCGACATCAGGCGGTAGGAAACGTTACCCATTAATCAACTCTCATATTTTCAAGCTACATTGTGTAGGATAACGTTTTATTAAATAACAATTAACATTTAGTGTCATTATTTGCTCTTGCAGAATATTAGCTGACAAAATTGGATCCGACCCTCTGATTGGTCAAAAAAGAAAAAAAAACAAAAAAAAACACCATTCCGATTAGTCAGAATTCCTACATCTGAAGTCCTAGAATAGAATTGAATAAAAGAATATAATTTGCGTAGGCAAATAGTATTTACGTCTTGTAATTGTGCGGAAGCTATGATAGTCGTAAAATGATCGCTATCAGTTGGGCCCATGCGAGAAAATGTCTGTCACAAAGGTCCGAGAAAGCATTCTGGTGCTCAATATCTTCGTATAAAACGAATAATAGTGGACACATTGGAATTTCCTCTTACAAAATAATATACAATCACGTCCAATTAACTTTTTTTTTTTTTTTTTTTACTCGAATAAACTAAATGGAAAGAATACAAAAATGGTTGGAGTGGATGAAGGCGTGTATGTAGAAATATTCTTGTACGTATGTATGTGTAAAGTTATTATTAAAGCTTGTAAAGGATTTATATCTCAAGAGTTCATTATCTGTCGGCTTGGTTGAATTATCAGACATACCTGGATGTATTTAAGCGTAAGGCATTGTATGCCGTGTACTATTGTTCAGTGAATTATTTTATTCAGTCGAGTTAGCTTGGACATTGAGTCTCTGCACCAACCATCAAGGTCCTGCATCAGTCGGAAGGTCAATTAGGGAGACATTCTATATCATGAGATAACTGGTCAATATAGGTGGTTTCTGGACGACCAACTAGTCTAGCTTCATGTCCAGAACAGTAGGTCACTCGCGAATTCTTGTTTCGCTCGCCAGCAGTGTCCTGCAAAGCGCGTTCGCGTAAGATTGTAGAAATATCTGGGATGGGACCATAGAGCCGTTGGACGTTGTCTCCGGGAGACGTTGAGTAAAGCTCTCGGGATCAGAAGCTTAGACTGTAGGGTTTAAGATAATGTCCAGGTCGTGCCACCATACATTAACACCGCTTACGTATGCGGGGTGTAAAATGTCCCCCAGAGTGGACTGAAAAACTTCTGTAAGGGATCCTGTGAGTTAAAAAAAAAAAAAAAGGGTTCTGCATCTCTTTTTTTTTTTTTTTTTTTTTTTTTTTTTTTTTTTGCAACGTCATCTAGTGGTCCTTAGAAGAATTCCTTCGGCAAACAAGTGGGGCAATTCCATACTCTCCTCCCAAAACTATTAATGAAATCCATAATCTTAAATCGTTAGAAATCAACGTTTGGAGAAAAAAATAGCAAAAATGATAATCGACGAACAATTCGATTTTCAGCAGAGGCTACTTGTGTTCTGTTCAGTTATGTGCTATGCATAATACACGCTTAGGCGATCATGTATCTTTCGATACATGACTGACGAGGCAGTTTTTTCCCGCTTAGGTTGCCATTTTTTTTCTGCGGTAGACCAATTGCCATCCAAGGCTATAGCACCTGGTCTGTCCTATTTACCCATAGCTGGGGGGAGAAGAGGATTTCTACCCTTTCCCAAGGGTATTAGCATGTAAGTGAATGTAATGGATTCGACTGGGATTCGAACTCGGCACTCTGCATTAATATTCCTGAGAGGCATGAACTAAAATTTTCCTGCACTGGCTTTGTCAGATATTTTATTAGATGCTTTCTTTCTGTCGAAGTACGGTCGTTGCCAGAAGAGTGGATCAGTGAATTGTTGGGGCAAACCACTCTCCACAACTTCCCTGACTGCAATTTTTTTTTTTTCATAAGAGCAGTGATTTTGCACTCCCCCAATAGAATTTAAGTAGCGGGTGGGATGCTTGATTTATTGTATTTCTAAGCCAGGAAAATATTGTTTCTCAATCAATACATGAGACTGTATTTAATCAATTTTAGGAGTTGCTGATTTTTCAAGTTTTCGATTTGAAATGTCTACTAACGCAATATATATTTTGAAATTTTGTCTGTATAAATATAATTTCACTTTTTTCTTTTTTTTTTTTTTTTTTTTTTTTTTTTTTTTTTCAGAAAATATCAACGTGAAGACGACTAAGACTTCGGAGACTAAAACTCCTAAAACGAAAACTCCAAAAACTAAAACTCCCAAAACTAAATCCTCGAAAGGTAAGTTTTACAATAGTATCATAATACTTAATACTGTTTCCAAGTTGTATGGCGTGGCGCTTGTTTCGTCGTCATTTCATCACAATCCAGGGGAATAAAGCCACTAATACGCAAGGAGTTGCCGAGAGTGGAAAACAAAATTCAAAGATGTAAGATGATTGGCGTTTTATTTTACGTTTTGAAGATCGTAGTTGACAGGGAAACAAGAAACCAGAAGAGTTCCATATGCAAGAAGTGAGAGAAAAGAAAAATGTTAATTATATCTTTTAATTTCGGCACTAAAATAAGAGCTAGAGGCTAATGGAGTACTACGTTTAAATTCATGAAACCGAAACTCCAAAAGATGCAAAAAACATCTCATCGGAATAATTTCCATGAAAATATTTATAGAAAAGGCAAAGGGAAGCTACATTACGGCGATGGTAAGTAACTGAAGGTGAGATGCCAGATCAAGACCGATGACATTGCAGATTCTTATTTGGTTTCTGTCAAAAATCTTTAGATACGTAGCAGCAGCACCAGACCAGATGTGGCAGCAATATCCAATGCATGGACGAATAGTAGACTTATAAAAAGTTGCAAGATAGATTCTATTTAGAAAAATTATCAAGCACAACACATAACCAATTTTCTTAGCAGCATATTTAGGAATCGAATCGATATAAACGTTCCAATTCATATCCCTCCAAAAGGTT